GCTGACGTGTAGAAATAAGTATTTTTAGGTGCCCAGTACACAAAAGATGGGTAGCAGAAAACACCCACTGCTCCTTGGTCTGCAGAGAACCTGCCCATCATTAGCAACACATCCACCAGACAGCCGCTCAGAGTTTCAAGTCCACTTCTGAGTTCAGGGTCGGTTTCAGACGAGAGCAAACATGGCAACAGAGCTCAGCTGTACAGAGGTCCACAAGTGAGATCCTGTCTCTGAACGTCACAAACAGGATCAGAGACCAGGAGCAGCCCTGATGGAGTCCACCTTGTGCCGAGAACCAGCTTGATGAGAATGTAGACCAAGGAGAAGTGGGTGTCTTCTTCTACCCATCTTTTGTGCACTGTGCACCTAAAATACAGACTTTTACACGTCAGATTGATATTTATCAGATGATGATCCAATATGATTCAGATATTCAGATTGTGCCAAGAGTCTTATCCCCGAGACAAAACAACGGCATGTGGTGAAACTACTTCATAGTTTGGGCCAAAACTTGTAAACCAGTCCTACAGGCAGAAAAGTGTTGAAGGTCCGAGCCAGCACTCTGGTCAAACGTTGACTCTGGTGTGTGGGAGGTCCCCAGGTTTGTTCACCAGAGAGCAAATGAAGCCTCCACAGGGAGGTGTTCTGGACATGTCCGAGTGGGGGAGACCCCGGGGAAGACCCAGGAAAAAAAGAAGTGACAGAGAATTCTACTCTGCCTTTTTCTCTTTTCACATTGTTTACGCATCTACAACACAGTTTAAAGCATTTTCATTTAAATTTGTGAAGAAGCGCATGATCACGAATAAAACGGTGCACGTTGTCGTTTTGCTTGCCTGAGAGGTTTTTAATCGGGCGGTCACGAGACGACACGTTGATCCTCCAGACCAGAGGATCAACAGAGGAACTGGTGCCGTCTGTGATTCTGCTGAAAACTGACCCAGCAGCTGGTTCTGGTCACTTTTAAATCTCCAAATGAAGGAAACAATTGAATGTCAGCCACAACCACTGGTTTTTTTTAATTAATATGATTTTATAATGTGTTCATGTTATTTGGAATTTAATCTTTTAAAAAAATAATTTTCCAACAAAGTTTATGTTCTTCTTGTTTATTAATCTACATTCTAATATTCAATAATTCTACATTATTCTTATTTATTCTGCAACTTTCTTTATGTTCTGATATTTATTATTTTACCTCTGTTTTTGTCAACTCTGGATGTTTTAATGCACCTCATGAATAAACTTGATTTGATTTAATTATCCTCTCAGCAGGACGTCTAAACTCCTTCAACGACATCCTGCTGAGTGGGAATACGCTCCAACACACAAACCACTGATGAACCACTCTATCCTTCCACGATGCACACGGAGGATATTGAAAGAACACTATAAATTCATTATTTGTGTGTATATATACTGTGTGTATATATATATATATATATATATATATATATATATATATATATATGTTTTATTTCTATAATTAATGAAAATGATAAATTTTAAATCCAGATTTCTGTAAGAACAGAGTTTCAAATGTTGGCTTTGTTTTAGTGTTTGATGGTTTAAAGTACGTCAGTAATAATAAATGAGCAAAAATGTGTTTTTTGACACGTCCGTGTGCATTTTTGTTTATCATGTTAGCAAAATAACTCAAAACACTCACTAACTGTTCATCTGCAACCAGCGTTTTTGAGTCAGCCTTATTCAAAGATGGCCGACACAGTTAACTGACCTTGGCAAACACAACAAGTGGTACGCTGATGCCAACCGTTGCTGAAGGAGTTGAAAAGTAAACGTTTGTAGTTTTTGAGACAAGTGTTTTTCTGGATTGAAATTGAACAGACAATGAGGTCAACCTAAATGTTTTTATGCTGTGGACTAGAACAGAGGTAGATTTTATTCCCAGGTTAGAGGAAGCACAAACTGATGGATTCTGGTGAGTGGAGGGAGACATTCTATCCACCACCAGGTGCACTGGTGGAGAAAGGGGGTGGCTAATGGTGGCCTGGACCGGAATAGATTAATCGTTGGTCACCTCGATCATTTAAGGAAACTCTACTTTGAAGCAACATAAAAACTAGGAAGTTTCCTCAACTGGTAGGAGTAGCTGGTTTACATATATGTATAACGGTGGCCATCTTGGATTTTGACATGGCAACCCAATTTTTGATAGGGATCTGTTTTTACGTTTAGATGTAGCCACTCACCAAAATAGAAGTCAACACCTCACTCATTTCTCACGTTACCACGCTCACAACATGGATGGATGGACACATGGACGAAGGGTAAATCCAGTTCCCTCTCTCCGCTCTGCGACGAGGGACCAAAAAAGGTGAAAATGTCCTTTTCTTGTCCACCTGAGTTAAATAATTTCAGAGAAGAGCATGGGGAGGAATACAAAACACTTTAAAAGACAAGTGTATGGGTTAAATTATTATAGAAATATTATTTTAAGGTGAAGAGATAATAATTCTCCACCTTTAAAACCATTTCCTCCATCCATGAATCCAGTTACAGGCGAGTTTCCAGCTCATTAATAAAAAACGGTGAAGAAATATCTGAATGTCAGAGGAGAGCGAGCCTCGGTAGCACAGAGAGGATAATTTATTACTTACAAGAATCTCCATAGTTGTTCTGAAGCCACTGGATGGTTGTAGAAGCACTGAACCATCCACCTACTTAGCAAATCATCTGTTCAGCTTTTCTAGTTGAAAATCTGACCTCCCAGGGTCCAGGCAGCATAATTTCTCCCCTTTACAGCTCAGGAATATGGTAATTTGATCAACAGCTCAGTAATAGCCCTCACGCTGGGCCTCCCTGTCAAACAAATTTCATAATTTCCATTTAATTTAATGCTGAAATCTTGTGTCACGGCTTTTTGAAAACGGAAAGCCAACGTTGAGCCTAATTCTGTCACCTCCTGCAGGCAAGACTATTTCTCCCGTCTCACTCCACGACGATCTCTTCTGCAGCTTTGATTGTGTGCAGGTGCTTTGTTTTGGCTTCAGAAAGGTAATTCTCTGTTCACACAGGAAATCGTTCGGCGGAGGCTCCGTCACTCGGAGGCCGTCCAGCGGTTGAAACAACTCCATCACGTCTTATCTCGTGTCATAAACACAAAACTCATTTCTCTAAAGGACTGCACGTCACCTCCTCTCCCTTCAGCTCCCCCTCTGATGAAAATCCTCCTCATCCTCTCGAACACGTTGCCGTCTTGGTGCTCAAACACGACCAGCAGATCTGAGAGCTCTCTCTCCTCACGTCTGACTCCTTATAATACTAATATAAGCATCAGATCAGTCTGATTTACATTTAACGTGTGTCAGGTTTACACATCACATCAGCTTTGTTATGCAAGTGTTGAGGAAAGTGGAAAAAATAGCTAATGTGCTGTAATGGAGTAATGTAAACAGCAATAAACTTTATCATAAAAGCTGAAAATCTGCAATTAAAGCTTCAAAGAAAGGACTGGAATAACAAACTTGAAACAAGAAAACAGGCCACATATTAACAGTTAAACTTCAGCCATTTCATTAAACAAGTTCACTTAAATTTCTGATATTCTGAATACACAGCTGGCCACTAAACCAAAATCCATACTCTTTAAGCACCTGTATTATTTAATCTGTGATTATTCTGTTTTCTACTAATTCTCCAGTTTACACAATAAGGGCATTCTGGTGTATTTTAACGAGTTGTTAAAAATCTAAGTTTACCTACATAAGTAAACACTTGATTCAATAATTATTTTAGAGAGCAACATGAAGTAGCCTGACCAACAGCTCTCCTTGTGTGAATATAGAAAGCTCTGCTTCTCTCACACATCCCCCCCCCCCCCCCCCCCCCAAGTCAACAACTGCTGTCAAAAATGTGGCACTAAGCTAGAAGCACACAACACAGAGGTGTGTCCCCCTCCCCGTCCACAATAAACCCAGACGAGATGAGCGCTCTGCCAAGCCAAGTGACCGAGGACAAACACCGCATACCATGTGGTGAGTTGTAACCAGGAAAACCTGGAGTGGACTTTTAGTGGTTTGAGTATTATCTTATTAATCAATATGGAATGGATTAGTTCACGAAGAAATAGAAACAGCGCTGGGTGAACTAATATGTCATGATAAATGTGTGTGTGTGTGTGTGGGGGGGGATGATTTTTTTTTTTTTATGTGGGGGGACATGTCCTCTTCACATGTAACTGCCGATAATTCAGAGCCTCTCAGCATCAGAATATAAATTGTAGATACAGCTTCTATTTATTGTTAAATTTACACATTTACACTTTAAGGGAATGTTAAGTACAGTAGGAAAAAGTCATATTTTAACTGCACTATAAAAGTTTATTTAAGCTTTATTAAACTAACATTAACAATTACTAACTACTATTACCAACTATGTGTAATAAAAAAAATCTGTGAAATAATTGCCAAAAGTGTCAATTTTTTAGTTAAAATTGTAATTTCAACATTTTATCAGCCACAACTTGAGAGTAGACTGAATTATAACAACAGGCATTTTAGTTTTAGCCACTAAACTAAAACTCAATTTAAGTTTTGTTGAACAGACATGAGCAATAAATAGTTTAAAATATGTCATCAAGAAGAAAAAAACAGACAGCAAATAATCTGGGAAAAAAAATTATATAATTATATAAATATATATATTTATATAATTTAATCTGTATCAGCTACTACTAAAGGTAGACTTGGAGATGAAAACAACCGGAGCATCCGGAAGTTTCATCTGCCCACTAACCCAGTATTCAGAGCCTCTCAACATCTGTAATATATTAACAGAAAGATTAACCTGCTTTCAATTTATTGTCAAGTTTACACATTGTCTGTAAGGAAATGTCAAGTTTATTGGCTTTTATTTTCATGACACTGTAAGAATCAATTTAAGCATCAGAAACAAATAATGTAAAATCTGCCAGTAAAACAGCAACGATTGAGAAAAATGTAATTTATCAGGTGTCAAATGTCAGCCCTCCATCAACACTACTTGAACGTAGACTTCAGTTTGTAACTACCGGAGCATCCGGGTGTTTCCGCTGGACACTCACCCATAACTCGGAGCCTCTCTGCACCCACAACTACCTCCTGCTCATCAGCAGAGAAGAGTAGCTTCCCAGAAGTGGATTTGACTTCAAACATCTTGCCTTGTGCTTTAAATCCACTGGATCCTAAATCAAACAGAGGGAAGACGTCAAAAAGGAGAAGTGAAGGAGGACCTGAAATCAAATCACTCTGAACAACTGTTAATCTGACCTGATGAAATGATGCAAACTGTCACCGGTTTAAACTTTAAAAGAAAAAGTGTTCTTCTAATGCAACTCTTTACAGTTTATAATCTTTCATTACAATGATACCGTTAAATGTTAAACAAGAAAATGTAATTACCACTAAAAACAAATCTGAGGACATTTTGAAGCGTTTAAACCTCTGGTTGAGAATCTGAGATCCAGAATCTCTTTCCTGTTTTTCATAATTTAAGAAATGACTAAATTAACCTTTGAGTTCTGTCTTGATATATTAACTCGTACAATTTCATATGACGTATGAAATGTTGAATCTAATAAATTGTAAAAAAAAAATTGTGGAAAAAGTGTTTATTTTGAATTTTGTAGCAGTACCACATCTCAGTCATATACAAAAGTAAACCACTGTCACTGGTTGCTATGGTGATTCCCGCCTCCCCCACGTGGAGCAGCAAGCACTTTTATTAAACATTGCAGAAACCGAACCTTAAAGGAAGGGACAAAATGTAAATTACTTACACTGAGAAGTAAAACTGGGTTTTTATTATCAATGATATGTTGGATTTTTAAATCACATTTATTAATTTTGACCTGATCAACAAACACTATACATCTCAGGAAAAGCTGTTAATCCTCATCAAACTGGAACGTCACTGAAGTTCCTAAATGTTCTGACTCTAAAGAACCGTGAATTTTAGGACCTTTGCAACCTGACAAAGAAAAATGACTTGACAAATAAAAGTCAAGCGAATACAGAGCACAACTTGGGGTTGTCATTATTTTACAAACTAATGGGAAAAAAATGGTTGGGGAAAAAAAAAGTGGAATAATTTGCTGAAAATAGAATTATTTAGGGTGGACTAGATTAAAAGTGAAATAAGTCATTTAAATATGTGTCAAAACATCTGGGTCAAGAAATCCTATTTTTGAAAAATCTGAATAACACCAGCAAATTCTGCAAGACACGTGTTTAAGGCCTCGACAAAAAGTGAGTTAAAGCAACACAAAGACCACAAGGAGCCATGGTGATGGTTCCAGAAGAATCAAGTTCATGTTTGGAAACGGCCAATTCAAAGTCCTGACCTCAATCTAATAGAAACGCTGTGGAAGGAGCTGAAGTAAGCACTTCATGTGAGGAAATCATCCAAAACAGCCGATTACAGCTGCTTTGTTTAAGGAAAAAGGCTAAAACTCAACCAAGCTGATTGTGCAGTAACAGGAAACATTATTGTTAGTTATTGCTGATAAAGGGGTTCACCACAGAACCAAAACCAGTCTGTAAATCTATTCCTGAATGTATTGTAAAAGTGGACCACTTTCCCCAATAAATGAGTTAGAAAAACAACTTATTGATTTTGCATTAATTTCAGTTCCATTTAGCAAACGGACTAAACCGAAGCTGTTTGTGCAGAAAAAGAAAAACCACAGGGTTGAAAATGTTTTGGGCACAACTGCATAAATCAGTTTGCAGCCCCTGCTTTGTACTGCAACAGATAACATTCATATAGAAAAACACCACTAAACCAAATAACACCAACAAATTTTGGGTGGGGGGCTCGGTTCGGTAGGCATGGTTCTGTAGACAGGGCGGGGGGCCCTGCTTGTATGATGGAAGGGGAAACACCGTTCTGTAAAAGCAGTAAACATTAGCACTTGTGTCAATCAGAAATCAGTTTGATCCTGTGTTGGTGATTCAGTTCAGAGTGTTCGGTGTAAACGGGTGCAGATGTTGAGCTGTAAACATCCTGAACATTCAAAATAAGAATCTTGGAATCACCAAAGTTTTCGAGGAGAGGTACGCCACTGTCCCTGACACAGTGAATGTTTGTAGTTTTTGAGGTGAGTGTTTTTCTGGACTGGAGTTGAACAGAGAATGAAGTAAACCTAAATGTTTTTGGTGACAGATTTTCAAGTGGGTAGGAGTTACACTGTGGAGGAGTACAGGGGGAGGTTTTTTTTTTTGTTTACTTGTCCAAGGAGGAGCAGAGTGACAGATCCTGGTGAGTGAAGGGAACAATTTTATCCACAACCAGGTACAAAAACAGAGCCACGGGGTGGCCATTGGTGACCATGGCCCCCAAAGATTATTCTTCAACCACTCCAAGAGTCACCCCAATCATTTGAGGAAACTTTACATTTAAGTCCAAAAAAGTTCAATCTGGTCCTCTGGACCAGAAGCTGGACCGGAAGCTATAAAAAAAAAATAGAAAGCAAAGTTTACGCAAATGATCATGATGGCCAGTTTACATATTTGGTGGTGGCCATGTTGGATTTTGACATGACAACCCAATTTTCAATAGTGACTTTTCTTACACCTAGATGTAACCACACATCAAAGTGAAAGTCATAAACTTACTTATTTTTCCAAGTTCTCATGCTCACAACACAGAGGGATGAATGGATTGTAGGTATTGAACTGAATTATTTCCACTTCCCCTCTTTGCTCTGTCATGGGACAACAATAAGCTCCAACAACGAGTCCACAACATCGGCGATACATTTCAAGAAATAGTCCTCATCACCATGAAGCTATGCTCTGATGACTCAAAAAATACTTTGCCACCAACTGTGGTAAAAAATAAACAATTATAAATGTGTGAACCAATAAGGAAAAAATATGAGCAGCTTTTTTTACAACTTCTCTCCAAACTCTATCACTCTCAATGGAATTGAAGCCGAACTATTTCTAACTGACCTCTGACCTTTCATGTCCACGGCTTGCAGACACACGTGCACGAGGATTGCAGAATTCATGCATTCGCACCTTCTGACTGTTTCATTTTGACCTATACTGGGTTGAGAAGCCATTTTCCTTTTGGAGATCAAGATGTAGTTAACGAAGCTCTGCGGCGTTGACTTTGTGGGACGTTAGGAAGAACAATGATGAAGAAAAGAGCAGAGACACTCAAGTCCTCACAGCAACAGTGGTAGTAGCTGAGACTGATCTCCAACACTTACTCAAAGCCTGAAAGAAACGTGAGATCGTGGTTTGATGGTTTCAAACTTTGGCATGAAGGGAAACAGGAAAAACATGCTCACTGAAACTTTTGTCTCATGTGTTTGTTTGTCATCTTGTACCAATGGGGGGCACACCGGTGGGGGGTGGGGGGGTTAAATGGTAAATGGACTGCACTTATATAGCGCCTTTCTATCTTATTTCAAGATACTCAAAGCTCTTTACAACAATCTGTGCCTCATTTATTCATTCATACAGCTCTATACTAGATCTCTACAAAGCTAATGGAACAAATCATTCTAAAGAGACTAATCAGAGCTTCATCACATTCATACTCTGATGTGTGTCCCATCAGTGTATGAATGTGATG